AGGGAGCCACCCTCTGTGCATCCGCCACTCCATATGGGTCTTGTTAGCTAATCCCACAACTGTTTTTTTTTTCTTTTTATTTATTTTATTATTTTTTTTTGAGATAGAGCCTCAAGCTGTTGCCCTGAGTAGAGTGCAATGGCATCACAACTCACAGCAAACCTCCAACTCCTGGGCTCAAGCGAGTCTCCTGCTTCTGCCTCCCAAGTAGCTGGGACCACAGGCACCTGCCACAACGCCTGGCCATTTTTTGGTTGCCGCCGTCATTGTTGTTTGGAGGGCCTGGGCTGGATTCGAACCCGCCACCTTAGGTGTATGTGGCTGGCGCCTTAGCCACTTGAGCCACAGGCACCGAGCCTTTTTTTTCTTTTTAATTTGAATTTTTATTTACTGACTTATTTTTATTCTTATTACATTTTTTCCCCCAGACTAGTTTTACTTTCTTGATACCTTGATACATGCAAAATAACATTTTCAGGGTGCTAAGTTACAATTTAGCAACTTACTACATCCTTATAACTAAATGATACTGTTAAACTGATTATTGCAAGGCTAGGTCCCTTTTTCACAAAATAGAATTTATCATTCATTCTTGCATTTATCAAATATTTGAGTGCCTAATGAATATCAGATGCTTTTTTGAGGGGTCTACATTTAGACTAAGATTGCAAATAATAACTTGTGGATAAATGTATTCATGTGGGGATACAGGGAAGTAAATGAGAGTATGTGTGACATAAAATATATCATAAAGGGCACATATCATGACATATACAAGGCATATACATTTGTTTGAAAACACCCCTAAATGGCTTGCTATCTCTGGGACTCTCCATTTTTTTTTTTTGCAGTTTTGGCTGGGGCTGGGCTTGAGCTCACCACCTAGGGTATATGGGTCTGGCACCCTACTCCTTGAGCCACAGGCACCACCCGGGACTCTCCGTTTTTAAAAACAATTTTATTGAGCTGTAATTCACATGCCATACAATTTACCCATTTTATGAGTACACCTCACCGGTTTTTAGTATATTCACAGAGTCATGCGATCTTTACGACAGTTAATTTTAGAACATTTTCGTCCCTCAGCACAAAATCCCCACACCCATTAGCATCCTGATAATGTTTTAGGATCCTCAGCAGTCAGTCCATTGGGACTAGACAGCAGAGATTTAATTGGCTGTGACATTCGGTAAGTCCCTAAACTTTCGCCTTGCTTTCTCCCCTTGTAATTACAGATGAAACTGGCTGACTGTTAATAGGTAATCCGGCCTGTCAGTAGGCACTTTACATGGAAGTATATTAACTCATTTAAGTCTTGGGACAACTGCTGGGCTGACTACTATTTTTGCCCCCATGTTACAGATGGGAAACTAATACTCAAGAGGCCTGAGGCACATGTGTTTTAACGTTGCGGTGGCCGGGGCAGCTGAACTGGAGGCTTCAGTACTGACTTGCATGACTCCGCCTGTGACTTCAGTATTCTTTATCCCATCTCCTACCTGCCCAGTAGACCCCTGACACAGGGAGCTTTGCAGACATGACCTGGAGCAAAGTTAGGGAGAAGATGAGGGCAGAGGTGGGAGATTGGCTTGAGAGGGGCTTTGACAGCAGGTTGTCTGACAGGTGGGCCTCTCAGAAAACTTGAGTGGTGCCCACCTGTTCCCCATGCCCTGTAGTGAGGAAGGAGCCAGCACTGCCAAGATCAAGGCCAGAGTATCCAGCAAAAGTCAGGGATGCCCCCTGGTGGATCTGCACTCCCATCACAGAAACAAAGCTATTCTCCTGGGATCTGCTTCCCAGGTTGGAGGGGGGAGCCAGCCCCTGAAGCCTGGAGTCATTTTACACCCTTAGCAAGTGATCAAGATTCAATATTCAGAGGGTGGCATGAGACCTGGGCTCTGGCACTAGATTGAATTGCCTTCAAATCCCAGCTCTGCCACTCACAAATTAGGGATTTCTGGGCAAGTTATTGTCCAAGGCTTAGTTTCTCTTCAGTGAAATGAGTGTAATTGAAGTTCTCTTTCCTGGCTGTGACCATGACAAACTTAAAATGAGATCACCTGTGCTGAGAACTTGCATGTGCTGACGTGCTCAGTAAATGGAAATGATTGGAATTGATAGGAATGGTATCTTTGGGGGAACTTGAACCAATCACTTTATCTCTGGGCCTCAGTCTCCTCATTTATAAAACAGGGACAGTCTTACCTTGCTTTTGCAGGGTTATTATGAAAATTAGACATTGAACCCAAAAAATAGTAACACCCAAGTTCTCCTACACACTCGAGGAGTTACTTTTATTATTCAGTTCTTATGTTGAGAAAGGGACTGTGATTATTTATTGAACAGATATTGACCAGGGACCTGTTATAGGTCAGGTTCCGTGAATGGGATGAGACTATTACCCATATGAGCATCTAAGTTCCATGAGAATTTTGTCTAGTTCAAGGGCTGGCAGGCTTCCTCTATACAGAGCCAGGGAGTAAATATTTCAGGCATTGTGACCCTTTTGGTTTCTGTCACAACTGCTCAGCTTTGCCATTGTAGTAGGTTGTAGCCCGGAGCTGGCCATAGACAATATGTAAACTAGTGAGCTGGGCCAAGCACCAAGAAAACTTTACATATGGACCTGGAAATGGGAAATTTGTGTTGTTTTCACATGAAATATTATTGTTCTTTTAATTTTCCCTCTCCGTTAAAAAAGTGTAAAATCTGGGCAGCACCTGTGACTCAGTGAGTAGGGCGCTACCGGGGGTGGCAGGTTCAAACCTGGCCCCGGCCAAACTGCAACAAAAAAATAGCCCAGCGTTGTGGCAGGCGCCTGTAGTCCCAGCTACTCAGGAGGCTGAAGCAAGAGAATGACTTCAGCCCAAGAGTTGGAGGTTGCTATGAGCTGTGATGCCACGGCACTCTACTCCACCGCGGGTAATAAAGTGAGACTCTGTCTCTACAAAAAAAAAGTGTAAAAACCATTGTTACCTTGTAGGCCAGATAAAAACAGGCATTGGACTAGGTTTGGCCCCTGGGCTGTCATTTGCTGTCCTATTTGGTTTACCCATAACTTTTTTTTTTTCTGAGACAGAGTCACTTTCTTTTTTTTTTTT